TGTGTTCAGGATTGGGATGGGAGTAGGGAGGGAAGAGGCTGGGGAGCGTTTCTTCTGTGGGAATGGGAATATGGGAATGCCTAGCTGGACTGCTCGGGTGGAGGGGTGCATTCAGACAAAGCCAACGAAAACAAATGTCTGTGGCTCTGGGAAGGCAGGGTCTGGTCTGAATCCTCTGTGGTTAGTTACAGATGTGTACAACTTTGCTAAGGAAAGAAGCCCTGTTAGAACATGTGGGCTTGGTTGAGATGACCTTTTTAGCGGTGTTGAGTTACACTGAATGGCGTCACGTCTTTGATCACGGTAAGATTATACGTAGTTAGTTAGAGTTGTTTGTGTGGGTCAAGTGAAGGTGAGATCATGTCTGTGTGAATATGACAGGCATTGTTTTGACACATTTGAGTTATGTGTAGCTAAAACGTAGTTTGAAGGTGAGTGCAGGTTTAATAGTGATCTTTCTTTTATCGTCTGTCTTAGGATCAAGGTGCAGGAATGGTGCCACCTCTTCAGGACCCTCCTTCAGCAGTGCCACGGCAGCCCCAGGGCAGCAACTACAACATGATGCTTAAGAATCAGCTAATAAACAAACAGCTTCAACAACAAGTCAGTGCTCAAACTTCATGTTGAATGTATCTTTCTGTTAAAGTGCAATTTTGTTGTTTAGCATGGCTGAATGGCCTTTTAATTTGCACTTCTTAAGAGGTAGAATTTGACTGCCTTAATTGTGTTAATGTGTTACTTTCTGTTTCTTATAGGAAAAGCAAAGGCATATGGAGCAAATGAATGGAGGGCATATCACAGACTGCCAACAGGCGGCACCATTTCAAGGTACAGTAACATCAAACCACATAAACATTGGTAAATACTGGGTCTCATTCACCATTTTTGCCTAAAATGTACACTTAGATTTTTTTCCATGCAGAAATCATGATTCATCAGTAAGATCACACACACCTACAAAAAATCTGAAAGCGTGCACACAAAAATGCTCCCGGTGCAAATAATTTATTAAGACTTGATTTTTTTTTTTTAAATAATAATAATAAAAAATAAAAAAACATTTATATATATATATATATATATATATATATATATACACATACATGTATGTATCCAATTACCTAGTGCTGACTGGTGTGATTGTGTGTTTGTGCTGCTTGTCTGTATGCTTCTTTCTGCATAGAGCAGATGCTAATTACATACTGTGATAAACATCAGACTGAGACATCATTGGTAAAGTTTTTGAAAGTAGATATTGTTTAGGATATCTCTGTTTGTGAGACTTTTTTTTTTCAGTTGACCACAACATAAATGAACATCAGAGTATACCGGAGATTCTGTGAGATCTAGTAAGGGTGGAAAACATTGGTTAGAGAGTCGGATTTGTCAGTGCCATAATAGTGGTATAATAGCCAAACATACATGATCATTTTCAGCCTGTTGGATTGTTTGATTTCTACCATTTTTATGTGTTTGGAAGAAAAATGGGTAATATATTGTGAGAGAAAAAACAGCCTTTCATTTGTGATTAATAAATTGTGATTTGTAGTTTGCCTTTTTTTTATATATAACACTAAATAGAAAAAAAAATTAACAATTATTGAAATTAAATAATAAAATATTTAAAAATAAATAAAAATACAGAAGCCCTTATATGGACATATTTTGGGCATGTTTTATGCAAATTACTAGATGTGTATTTATGTATTAGTGAAAATTTGGAGTGAGAACTTTTTCTGCACACATAAATATGGAATTTGTACAAAATTGTTAGTGAATGAGGCCTACTGTTTATGTAGTGCCAAAATTTTGCTATATACACTCCCATTGAAACGTTTGGGGTCAATACGATTTTTTTTTTTTCTTTCTTTTTTTTAATTAATACTTTTAATGCAAGGATGTTTTAATGTTTTGCTGTATTTGTAATCAAATAAACGCAGCCATGGTAAACATGAGAGACGTTTTTCCAAAAACATTAAAAAATCTTACCAACCCCAAACTTTTGAACAGTAATATACCTAAAGCCATGCTCAAAATCAATTATTTTTGCTGTCGTGCAGGTCCAGGTCGACCACTCCCTCCAGAGTGTAGTGGATATCCTCTGGGAGCTTCTCAACAACCGAATTCCTCCATGCTGTCCCATAGCGGCCCTTTACCCTCAAATCGAATGGGTCTTTCCTCCAGCTCACTCTCCCAGATGGGCCCGTCGGTTGGAGGATACATGTGCAGCAAAGGTTCCAAACAACCCCTCTGCCACCCGTCGCAAGACTTTGGAATGGCGATGCAGCCTGGCCAGAGCATGATGGGAATGGGTGGCCCTCCACGTCAACCGCTACACCCGGCTCACGCTGTGACGCGACCAGGAATGCCATGTCCAAACCTACCAGGCGGTCCTGTGCCGACCCACCACCTGCAGCAGGTGCTGCACCAAGGCGGAGCTCTTCAGTCACATATGATGTTCCCATCTCAGCAGCAGCAGCCCACCTCACAGTCCCAGCTCTGGCAGCACCAACAAGGGGTGCAACCACATATGGACCCTGGGAACCACCAACATCCCTTTCCCGCCGGAGGAGCCCTACCTGGATGCCGAGGTCCTCAGTTTCCACAGCGATCCGGCATGGCAGGTATGCCAGCCAACTTCCCTGGTTCCCGTCCTCCTGCAAATCAAGTAGCCCCTGGTTTGGTTAGCAGACAGGACCAGAAGATGCCCACCACCCAGCCACTATCCTCCATGTCCCAACAGAACTTCAGAATGCGAGGTCCTCTTTCCGCTCTAGCTGTTATGAAACCAGGAGGACCGTCCATGATGCACCCTGCCCATGGGATGGCGCCTCCTAGTTACCAGACTGCTTCCGCAGGGAAACACTGTTCACCGCAGTGCTACAACCCCGGAGATAAACTGCCTTCCTATGACTACACACCACAGCATCAGAGCAATAGGGAGATGGCAACGAGGCTACAAGGACCTGGAGGGGGAGGTGGTCGCGGTGCGGAAGTGGACTTCATAGACACTCTGGTGGGCAACAACGAAGACTGGCTGAACAATCTCACCATGATTGATGAATACCTTGAGCAAAACTCATAGGGACTGATCAAGAGCGTCCTAGGTTTGAAAATCACTACACACAGTGCCAGAATGGGGCCGTGGGGTCATCGCTCTGTAAAGGCGCGTTCACACCAAGAGCGCTAACTATAACAAGAACTATATTAGTGTCCACACCAACGGACGATAATATTCTGTTCCTTATAAGCTTGCAGCTACATTGTCTGCTTTTGTAAGACTCTGACTTTTCTGAACTTTTCTGGAAAGTTCGCTTTGGCAAGCTGTTTCGAACTCCAAACAAACTTTGTTTTGGCCTAATTTTGTTCTAAATAACGAAGTATATTAGGTCCTTTAAATACGTAAGCTCTTTAAACTTGTGTGGTATCTGATTGGCTTAAAAAAAACTTTTTAGTTTATCATTATAGTTATCATCTTTGGTGTGAACGAACCTTAAAGTCTTAAAGCGTTTTTTTCTCATGGCTAGCATTAGTGAGAATGTATCAGTGGAAATGAGGCACTGCTAAACCTCCTGAAATGGCTTTGGCCGTCATTAAACTGGCTTATATTATAAGATGCCCTTTCCTTTTCTCTATGGTTGCTCTTCCAGTGCTCTCTGCGCTGTTTTAGGATAATATTGTAATTATTGTCAAATGTATTATGGAGTGAAACACTGATTGATGAAAACATGGGCTTTGCTCAGCAGTGTAAAGAAAGTTCTCATTCGGTTAAAGGGGTAGTTCACCCAAAAATGACAATTCTGTCATCGTTTACTTACCCCCATGTCGTTCTAAACATGTATGACAGAAGACATTTTGAAGAACAATTTTTGTCTGTACAATGAGAGTTAATGGGGTTTAAAACAACACTGACTTTCATTGTATGCACAAAAACACTTTTTCTTACCTGCTTTGCATGGGGTGAGTAGATGACAGAATTGTCATTTTTGGGTGAACTGTCCCTTTAATGCAATGTGATAACAGTATTGTTGGCAGTCTCATGCCAGACCAGGCTCATATGTGCAGCTTTTCATTCTTGCTATTTGAAAAGCGTATGAAATAATTTCTGTGATGAACTATTTGAGGGTATTTCAAAAGGGGCTTGTCCTGTACATAAAGGATTTTGTAAAATATGGTTTCTTAAACTGTAACATACAAAAGAGAAGTACACATATTTATGCTTCTTTTCTGCTGATGAATTCTTCAGAATTTCTGTGTAAATAATTATTAAAAGAATAAATAAAACAAAAATGCAATGATGTAAAGAAATGAGTGTCACATTGAAATTGCAAATTAAATATTTTACACAAAGCAACTCTATTGTAATTTGTATTATGCAAGACAGTATGGTTAGTTTTGGAGTAATACTGTGTATTACAAAGGTGAAAAATGTGTTATGTTTTTGACATAACTGGACTTCTGGTACTCCAGTCTGGCTTAAGAAGTTTTTTTTGTTGTTTTTTACGTTTTTAAATTGTGAGTACAATGTTTCACGGCCTTGTCACAGCGTGAAACACTGATTTATGAAAACATGGGCTTTCCCCAGCAGTGTAAAGAAAGTTCTCATTCAGTTAAAGGGATAGTTCGCCGAAAAAGAACAATTCTGTCATCATTTACTTGCCCTTATGTCTTTCCAAATCTGTATGACAGAATACATTTTGAAGATCAATTTTTTGTCTGTTCAGTGGAAGTTAATGGGGTTTAAAACAACCCTAACTTTCATTGTATGGGCAAAACACTTTTTATTTACTTATTTACATGGGGTGAGTAGATGATGACAGAATTGTCCTTTTTGGGTGAACTGTCACTTTAATGCAATGTGGTAACAGTATTGTTGGCAGTCTCATGCCAGACCAGGCTCATATGTGCAGCTTTTCATTCTTGCTATTTGAAAAGCGTATGAAATAATTTCTGTGATGAACTATTTGAGGGTATTTCAAAAGGGGCTTGTCCTGTACATAAAGGATTTTGTAAAATATGGTTTCTTAAACTGTAACATACAAAAGAGAAGTACACATATTTATGCTTCTTTTCTGCTGATGAATTCTTCAGAATTTCTGTGTAAATAATTATTAAAAGAATAAATAAAACAAAAATGCAATGATGTAAAGAAATGAGTGTCACATTGAAATTGCAAATTAAATATTTTACACAAAGCAACTCTATTGTAATTTGTATTATGCAAGACAGTATGGTTAGTTTTGGAGTAATACTGTGTATTACAAAGGTGAAAAATGTGTTATGTTTTTGACATAACTGGACTTCTGGTACTCCAGTCTGGCTTAAGAAGGTTTTTTTTTTTGTTTTTTGCGTTTTTAAATTGTGAGTACAATGTTTCACGGCCTTGTCACAGCATTTCATTCTAACATTAATTGCACAGTCTAAAGGTTCTCTAACTTGTGTCATATTGCCATAGCATAATACATTTTACACTAGACACCAGTGTCTTTGTAATCATTTGTTCCATCTAAGGAAATGAGGATCTTGAGGATCTAGATGCTTTTTGGACCAAGGACACTTTTCAGCAATTCTAGGAATGTCTTTTGTAAGTGCACACCAGCTACACTGAAATGGCAGCCTCAATGTAGGGACAAAATATATGATCACACCACCAATTATGTAATATAAGAGCAACACCTGTCACAGTAAGTGCATAAAACCCACAGTCCTTTGTGCCAGAGTCTTGGGTTTCCAATAGTTCATGAGCATGTAGTTGATGCCATGAACTTTAAGACATTCTGATTTGTGATTAATTGTGATTTATTATATTTTGTCTTCATATTTTTAGATTGGAAAATAAACTGTATAAAAACAAAAATGTCTCCTGTTCTTCTTTAATATATCTTACTTCCGTTTCCATTGGTGGTAAGAGTGAAATTTATGACTACAGATCAATTTTAGCACCATCCCTCATTTAGTGTTGAGATGCCTGATAACTACTGTGCTAAAATGATCTTATAGATTCAGAAGAACACCAGGGTCAGTATATCTTTGTGACTGCTTATCAGGACGAGGCAGGGATAAAGTAAACATATTTGTGACATTGATTTAAGAGAGAAAATATCTTCTTTCACTACTGCTCACTTTAGTTTTTGTTCTAGTCTGTTTTGAACAATTTTTTATTTTTTTACAAAATTGTCTTTATTGGGGCTTGAAGTTATTATGAAATCAGTTTTATTGTTCTTGATTGACGTTTTTTCTTTTTCTTTTTTTGTTTCTTTTTTTCTTTTATATTGATTGTTACGATAAAGGGTTTAAATGACATCTTTCGTTTAAACTTAAAGGAAAGATGAGCTCACACAGAAGTATTTCACTTTCCAATCATGATTTTATGATTCCTGCTCTGGCGGTGTTTTCCAAAACACAATTGAACATCTGTTGGATTCATTTCCTTCATAGTGTAGCTTTTTAGTGTGGTAAATGAAATCATTCATTTCTTATCTAGAGGTAATATGAGAATGGCCATACAGAAAATAAAAATTATGATCTAATAAAGGTGCTCCAAAATTTTGTGAGGCAATGTTTTCTTGCAAATAGACCTTTAGCCTTTGTCACACTTGTCTTAGGTGTCTGTAAGTCTTTAGCAATTGGTATAGGTTAATGTATTTTTTAAAGTGTTTTAAGCTCACATTTTTCAAGCTTTTGTTTTTCAATTATGCAAACTAGATTTCTTTACCATACAGTGGAAAGACAGTGGGGTCATATAGGACTGTAACCACACCTTAATGTTGCCTATCTAAAACGATATTCATTTCTGTCACAAGTTAAAGATTCTGCATATACTATACAGTCTCTGTTCTTTTGCACTAGGCTTCCTTAGATAAATAAATCAATATAAATAGGCATTTTTGCATAGTTCCTCTTAATGCTGTTTTATGGTTTTGCCGGTTTCATTTTTAGATCAGCAGTTTTGCTTCCACAAAAAAAGTGGCCTTTGTTTTTGCATCAGCAGCTGATGGTTTTAGAAACTCATATCTGTTACTGCAGGTTCATGTATCTCACAGTTACGGATCAGAGCTACACAACAGAAGTCTGGGTAAATTCAAACTTGATAATCCAGACTTTGAAAGCCACAGGTAATTGAAAGTAATACAAAAACCTTGTGTGTGTCTGTGTCTTCCTTCCCAGAGCCATAATTTGCACGAGATGCTGTGTTGCCAGGCTCTAATGAAGTACAGTTAACTGCCATCTGTAAGAAGTGAATGGAATGATTGGTATGACTATGACACTGCAGGGATCAGATTGCACAGCCATCAGCTACTTCACTGAGCAAGACTCTTGAGTTTGCACTTTTATGAAAGATGCTACCAGTTTAGTGGCAATTTGTAAAAAAATACAGCTTATTATGCAAGAAAAGTAGTGCATTCATGATGTGTCAAATACTAATGACTGGTAAAAGTAAAAAAATTAATAAATAAAAAAAAAAGTGAGAGGGGTAAAAAGAGTTGTCTGTCATCTGTAAATTTGGGGGAAAACATTTGGGAAAATAAAATCTCTAGGCGTGCACTTTTTTGTGTTCTCTAAATGATAAGCTGAGCTAATGGTGTCAGGCAGCCTTGACAGAAATGGGCAACAGGTTGAACACACTATAAGTTGTTTGTTTTATCAGGCAACAATGGAAACAGATTGTCCAAATTAGTTACTCTATTTCTGACCTTATAGTTCTTTCCAAGCAATGTTGACTGACAACATAGTCAGGCTAGTTGTCAAATGTTTATACATATAGGCTATATATGGGTGAAGTTGTGATCTTGCTCTGAACTTTGACCTTAAAACATTTTTTCACAACTTTCTGATTATTCCAAAAGCTATTACCATTGATAAAACTAATGACATGAAATAAAGGGACAAACATACTTTTAAAATTATTTATATTATTAATTACTCATTATGTTTGGTTTTTACACACTAGATAGATCCTTAACTAATGCATAAAACTATATGTAGGGGACCAGGGATTATCAATTAATATTAAGATTTAGTGTCAAAATGTATACATTTATGAAATAATCAGTTATGGTAGGATGCTTTTAAATGGGGTTTCTTAAATATTTGAAATCTATTTCATGACAGAAAATGACAGCATGTTTTGAGAGCAAGCCTAGTATTTCACCGTCCTTATCAAAAATACAACTCCCTAAATTCCTTGCAGTACACGATTCGACAAGTGGCCAATGGGCGCCTTGACCGCTGTCACGTGACTCGGGCTGAGAGCTTCCTGCGGCGGTGCAAAACAGACTGGCGATCTGAGGAACAGAGAATTGCAGTTTCTGGGTAAGTAAAGACATTTGCAAACCCAAGATTGCTCGGGTCGCGTGTTAAGACTTCTCGGCGAGGGTCTGCTCTTTATTTAGGTCTGCTTGGAGCGGACTCAGGGGTAAATGTAGCACTTGAGAGCTGTCGCAGAGATAGGCCCGACCTATTTCCTGGTCACAGTCCTGTGCTGGAATACATTCACAGTGTAAGAGCTCCCACGAAATCGCTAGAAGTGATAAAAGTGGACGTTTTAGACGCTTGTTTTGACGTGTATGTCGTTATCTCTTATTGTCTGAAACTATGAATGGAAGTGGATGTGTGTACATACACTGCTCATAATTTTCCATCACATCATCACATAAGTTGGTGAAAGTGTGTATCTGCTTTCGTGGTGATTGATCCGGGCATTTAAAGCCTCAGGGTGAAAGTATGAGAGTTTTGAATTGAAACTTCCCTTGACAGATTGATTTCATTCCTCTCTCTTATCTCTTAAGTTAAAAGTCATTTTCTTTATATGCAGGGAAAGAAGGCTGTAAATGTGCACACCGTCATGTAAAAGCCACAACAGTCCTGTCATCATTATAAATAACTCTCTTCTTTCTCTCTCACTCACCCAGGCTGGTGCTGTAATAATTTACATGCCTGTCTTTGACCGCTAACCTCATGTGTCATTCCCTCAGGTGTCCATTTGAATCTTAGAGCTTCATATTTGCCCCTCAAATGACTCAGAGATCTGAATTTGTTGTGTTTTCAACAACACTGTTCGTGGCATAAGTGTAAATTTAGCCCAAAATTAGTGACTTCAGGTTCTGAGGTGCTGATGTGGTCTGTATGCAGACATATTGCTTTTTGGTGTCAACATGAAGAAGCTTGTGGCAGGTTTGGCTTGTTGGGTGGCCTTTATACAAAAATCTTTTATATTTTAATTAAATAAAGTTTATTAAATAAGTAATCATTATTATTATTTAATTTATGGTACAATCGAAATAAAAATCAGTTTAATCAAGTAAAGATTTGTCAGCTTATCTGTCCCATGATGCATCACGATTGACAGGATGTTCATTACCTTTCACAGCTGTGGTGTTGCTGTTGATTCACAGTATGTTTCATATTTTCTCTCACTTCCACTCAGACGCATCTGTGGTAGTTTCTGCCAAAAAATATATGAATATGACTGTAGAAACAGCAACTGTGCTTCTTGAGAACATTAGGGATAGTAGAAAATATACAATTTG